GCACGCCGCCCCCACTCTAATTCTCCTCCCCTCCCAGGCTTGCGGCACCAAACAGCTGATTGGCGCTGCAAGCCTGGGAGGCGGGAGAAGTAGAACGGCGACCATGCCTAGGTGGAGGGGGTGTAGGAACGCTGTAAAAAAAATTGGGGGCACTGCTTTTTGGCGCCCCCAAATCTTGGCGCCATAGGCAACCGCCTAGTTTGCCTAAATGGTAGCACCGGCCCTGGGTGCAGTCCATGCCACACTCCAGATCATTAATAGTGTTAACGTATTTGATGTATTTCCCTGCAAAAAATTAAAAAGGTTTTTCCCTCTACTCAGCATGTTTGCAAGTTGAAAATCAAAAGCATATTTTTATTTCATCCATTATTTTTGCAACAGTGAAATGTTTTTTGCTGGATGGATGGTGGTCAAATGGGGTCAGTTTGTGTATCCTATTGAGTCAGATTAGAGTCATGAGTTTCAATTTCCTGACTTTCATTTAGGTCAGGTAATTCTGGCAGAGTGCAAGTGAGTTTTTAAATCCTGATGTGTCAGGAAACGAGAGAGGTCCAGTTCTTACATTGGTTTTCTCCTGGGCTCAAATAGATTGACCTTGCTTCACTGAGCTGGCTCACATTTTTACATTAACAGGAGATTTTTAGCAATCATCCAGTGTGGATATCTTGTAAATGAATCTGTCTCATCTATACTAGCAAGTGTCACAGCAAATGATGAATGTAGTGTGAAAAGTAATAGAACTTAGTCTCTTTATAAAATGTAAAAGATTTTTTCCCTTGGATTTTAAAATCAATAATTACCAGTAAAAATATTCTCCTGTATTTTAATATTTAATAGTGGCACACTTAATTATTGCATAAATTAAAGCATTTTCTGCTCCACTGCTCTTCAGTTTTATGAATAATTCTTGGCTCAGATTTTTGAGTGTTTGGGGTTGACAATACTGACTGATTCTACTGGGTCAGGACCCCTCTTTGGAGGAAGGACAAGATTTACTCCTTAGTAAATAAATCTTGTTTCCCATACATAAAACACTCTAGCCTGTCATCTGAAAGTCAGTGCCCCCTTCAAGATGATAAATCTGAAACCTGCTGAAAGCAAGTGTAAATACTGTGATTTGTCATTTAGAAATTGGCACTAATCTCAAATGGGACTTCCTGTTCAAAAATTCTTGCTATTTGTTTCTCAGGCTAAATCTGCAAAGTAACCAATTGGACTGCTTGGTTTGTTCCCTGACTCTTTATAAGAAAATGTTTTCACATTTAGAATGTCTTTTCCTTTCAAAGTCCAAATGCTAACAAAAGTGCATATTGCTATCAGTCGGGGTGGCCAGAGCTCAGCACACAGTTTTCTGCAACATGGCCTGTTTGCCTCCATCTGTGGAGGGATGCTCCATGCTGGGATCTGTAGTTTTCACAGGTTGAACTTCACAGATAGTTTAAAGATGGTGGTGTCCACAATCTGCCTTATTTTATGCACATTAGCACGAGTCTTTGGGTTCCTGGCAAGTTCTCAGTATGGCCCTTAACTTCACAAAATATGGGTACTACCTTTTTGGAGCACTTCTTGTTCCATGGTAGCACAGTGATTATATTGAATATTGGTTTAATTAATGGTGAGGATTGCCATGTATGTGCTGCTTGCATAAAAGTATGAAAACAACACCAAGACTCTTCTTGATACAAATCAACTCAGCCAAACTTAGGGCTGTTTATTTTGCTTTCATTTTACATCAACAATAGCGTAATATCAGCTTTATGTAGTATTGTTTACATTGAGGTCTAGGATGGAGATTTATGTTTTGTTAATTCCAGTTTACTATTTTGAGGTCTAACTTTTCAAAAAGCTAAAAACAGAAACAAAAATGAAAAAATGCAAATATTGTATTTTTCTTTAGCATCCAAAATATATAAGCCATGTGCATAGGAATATTTTTTTGCCCAGTTTACTTTGAGTACAATGTCTTTTGACTTTATTTAAGAAAAAGATCCATTGACCAAGAGCAGTTGCTGCCTTTTTTTATAGTTGAACGTTAAACCTTAATTCATGTAGAAAACTGTGAAATGTAAAGTAGAAACAGCTCTCTTTGTATCTGTCCTGCTGTAAATGTCACACTGATAGGTCATGGTTTATACTTTGCAGTAGACTGGAAAAGAGAGATGTTTATTTTAGGGCTATTTGAGGGGGTATATTAATCTGTTTTATTGTATGTACCTGTACTACTTAAATTGTCCAAATAGTAATTATTATTATTTGTGTGTGAACTACTCTAGAATACCCTCAGGTTGCATACATTAGTAGCTTTCGTTTAACAAAAACTAATTGGAGAACTTTAAAAAAAATCAATGTTTTTATTATTTTATTATTTTATTTTCAGTGCTGCAAAAAAAAGACAGACAAATATTTGCTAATCTTATTATTTCTCTTTAAAAAGCATTCCGTTTCCCCCCTCTACCGCCTTACTTTCTAGATACTTTTGCTAACTGGATTATTAGATCTTGGGGTGTATATGGAGGAGAACGTAAATAAATTTAGATAGCAATATATTATGAAATGTTTTGCTGTTAGCGTCATTGGGGCCAGGATTTCACCCTATATCTTCATCTGTGTTTAGGAAGCACTGAGCACACTCTGGGTGTTACCTCAATCTAAATAACAATGCTAATTATTAAACACTGATATAGCCAAATTCTTCTCTGTTACATGGGTGCAACAAAATTAACTTCAGTGTGTTCATTTGCATAGATGAGAAGGGAAGTTGGCCCATAATAAATCCTCAAGGGGAATTTTACCTAATTTTGTGGTATTGTGTGGTAGTTCTACTTTTTGTTTATGTGATCTAAAGCAATCACATTCTCATTAGGAGTTGCAGAAATCATTTTTAACCAATGCTACCCAAAAGAAAAAGCCCAAAGTCTTTTTTGAACTAGTGAGTTTTTGTTCTATTTTTTAACTATAGAAACATTGTGTTTCATCTGGGGTGTACTTGCTGGCATGTGAACAGCAACAGTCTATGTCGCTCTGCCCATCAAAATTAAAGCTAAATGATGATGGGGATGCAAAAGCAAATCAGCAAGTGATTAAGCTAAAGAAAATGATGATGATCTTGTAATAGAAATAGTAAACAGCAAATGAGAAACTGCCTGTAAACATGGTCACCTTTGTTTCAGATCCAAAGTGTTGTGCGGCCAGTGTCCTGTTTGGTCAGGTAAAATTTAACTGAGTAGGTCTTCTCTCTGATGAATGACATCTCCAGCAAATTTCTCTAGTATTGAGATCAGTTGAAAGCTGAATTCAACCACTCTCTTACTGAGTGAAATTCACCTTTTGCAAAGGGTCCACTCAAGATTTATACACCACTTAAAGCTGACTTATGGCCTCAGAAAAGGGCTTATGTTGGACTTATGTGGTCGCATCGGTTTTGTAATGGTCCATAACATGGGTAAATGTGCTCACTAAACCAAGCCATGCATCAATAGTACATAACACAGATGTTCTTTGAGCTGCACTGGTTGCCTATGGGTTTCCTGGTGCCGTTCAATGTTTTGGCTTTGATTTTTAGTACTTTAACTTGTTTGGGACAAGATGAATGGATTTTAAGACTGGAGGGAACTGTTATGATAATCTACTCTGACCTCCTTCATAAAATGAGGCTTAGAATGTCATCAAGTGTTTCCTGCATCAAGCCCATTACTTCTGGATGAGCCAGAGCATATCTTTCTAAAAATTATATCCAATCTTTATTTAAAGACTTCAAGACCATAGGTAATAGCCTACTTCTCTCCTCATGGTCTACTCTCACAGTAGCTATCAATGGAGGCAGGTAAGCTGAAGCTACTTTGAATTAATTGAGAGGGAGCTGCTAGCTGGCCAGTTTCTCTGGAATCTGCCACCCAGCTGACCTGCCAGAACTCAGGTTGGTTCGTCTCCTCTAGTTTATTTACCAAAAAAGAAACTATTGGAGAATTTGACCTGCTAGTTTTGGCCAGTGAAAAGTTTTCCAGGCCAGCACATATGTCTGTCTGTTCCTTTTTAACCTTTAGTCCAGTGCTTAGATGTGCCTTGCGTAGGATATAGGAGACTCAGGTTTGAACCCACACTATGGAGCAGAAACTTGAATTCAGATCTGCCCCCCTCCCAGGTGAGCATCCAAATCACCAGGCTACAGGTTATTGTGGGGTGGATGGTTCTCAATTTCCACTTTGTATTAATTCCTAAATATTTATTGGGTCAAAGGGGGAGAGAGTGGGAATGACTCTCGCCTGGTGATTAAGGCACTCACCTGGGAGGTGGGAGCTGTGGATTCAGTTTGCTGGCTGACACAACAAAATCAATTATTCACCAACCTCTGCTTGTGACATACTGCAAAATCTCTGTTTGTCTTCTGTGCATTTTGGGAGAAGTGGGTTGAGGACTGAGAGGGGTTTGTTAACATGCCTGGTGCAAGTCTAACCCCCTGCCAAGATGCAGTATTTGAATACTTAGATAAGTTAGATGTATTCAAGTCGGCAATTCATCCTAAGTCTTTATTGCTGTTTTCTGGTGAGTTTTTATTAGGGGAGGTTGTGTACTCCGATATGTGTAATCATGCCAGGATGCCGAGACCATGAGATTGAGCTTTTTGGATTGAAGTATTAAATAAATGATGTATCCCTCATTATTCTCTGCTTTACACAGATCAATTGGCAAATTTAATTCATTGTTGTAGCTCTTTTTTATTTGCCTTTAATTAAGTGCTTGAAGTATTTGGTTACACTTTTATAACTGCCATTGTGTTATGCTTTCTAACTCTCAAGGGACATATTGCCAGCAGAGAGAAGTGGAAGCTATAACAGAAGGAGATGAAGACAATGAAGGCTGCTGCTGCTGTCAGCCAGGTCACTTGCCTCACTTGCTATCGTGCAACGCAGCCTTTAACCTCCGATGGCTAACATGGGAAATAACTCGAACCCAGTATATACTGGAAGGATATAGCATCATTGATAACAATGCCGCCACAATGCTGCAAGTGTTTGATCTGCGAAGAATACTCATCAGATATTACATAAAGGTACAGTATAAGTGAAGTGAGTTCTATGTACCATTCCTAGGTAGGAAATTTGCAGTCTTCAAAAGATAGAGAATGAAGTTTATCTTTAAGAAGTATTACATTTTAAATAGCAGGGTTTACAGCAGAACTTTGCTAATTTGTACTGATTGGGAGACACATTGTAAATTAGTGAAGTGTATGATTTGTTAGGTAAACGAACAATACAGTAAGAATCAAGACTACTGAATCACTTTGTTCATTTATTTTGACTTTTATATAAAACACAAATGGGAATTTCTTAAACAATTTTATACACAGTAAGGCCTTGTCCACATATAATCTTGCACTGATTTAACTAAACAAAGACTCATATTTCAAGTTAAAAATGGTTAGTTTAAAGCTGTTCCTAACTGATTTAAGCTAAACTGAAATATGCCTTGTTTAAACTGAAATAAGAGTGTCTGCATAGCCATTTGCACCAGTTTAACTATATCAGTTTAAAATCATACCTAAGCTTAAACTTGTGTTCAACTCTCAGTACATTAGAATCTTCATGCTTGGCTTAACTTTTAAGGGTCAATGAAATCTGTAAAACAAGCCCAGTTAGACTCAATTTAGTTCATTAGTTTTAAAGTACTGAACAGCTGTATTTGGCAAGTTGAATTTTTTTCTTTAGCTCTTTTAAAATCAGCTAAACTATAGAAGAATGTAGGGGTACGTCTATACTTACCTCCGAGTTTGGCGGTAAGCAATCGATCTTCTGGGATCGATATATCGCGTCTTGTCTAGACGTGATAAATCGATCCCGGAAGTGCTCGCCTTCGACACCAGTACTCCTGCTCCGCGACAGGAGTACGCAGAGTCGACGGGGGAGCCTGTCTGCCGCGTGTGGACCCGCGGTAAGTACCTTGTAGTTCGAACTAAGATACTTCGACTTCAGCTACATTATTCACATAGCTGAAGTTGCGTATCTTAGTTCGAACTGGGGGGTTAGTGTGTACCAGCCCTAACAGTTGATAATATGAGGTCATCAGAAAATGTCAGAGGAGGCAGAGTTTAACAGAAAGGTAATTAGGTAGTTTAGAGCTTCCAACATATGGGTGTTCACATGGGAGCTAGCATGTAGCAGGACTAAAAGATATGCAATAGTGAGGTATGTGAGTGATTGTGTTTCCAGTAGGCTGCAGGTTCTGTGGTGTTCACAGCCTATCATTTGGCAGGTGTTAGAATCTGTTCAATATTTTGCTTTGATTTAACTATAGGTTTGGCAAAGTTGAAATGCCATTTACATTGCACCAGATTTCTTAGAAAACTTCATCCATTGTTCCACTATGAAACAAAAACAAATTTTGAAACCTCTAAATGTGCCATGAAATGGAATTGTCCACCAGTCAGCTCTTGTGTTAAGCATAAGTATTAAAGAGATCCCATTTTTCTTCTTCTTATACTAACCTTATCCAATAGGCAACAAAAACAAAATTATTATTGCAGAGGGAAGATAGCAATTAAAAGAGGGGTTTTCAGAGCTATATTCTACACTCTTGCAAGTTCTTATTTAATAGTTAAATTGATGGATGTGTTCTTGTTGAAGAAATGGGGAAACTGCACCCTCAGAAAGCTGAAAAAGCGAACATTTCTGACCATATAAAACTGCATATTGTTTTTGAAAAATACGTATAAGCTTTTATCATCATCATCATCATCCTTTATGGTATACACTATAGACACAGCCACTTTTTCAAATTAACTTACCCTTGACACTATCTACACTATTCAGAGTATGATGCTTGTGATTAATATTCTTTTTAAGTTTCATTCATTTAAATTCTGTTAGTAGTTAACTGACTTCTTTCTCATTTAGACATAAATTATTACGATCACACAAAATAAATACTCTTATGAATCAATGATGGCAAGTAGCAGGAATATTACATAAGATTATGGATAGTCGGTGTCATCTTCTTATTCTGATTTGTTCTCTTCTGTGTTGTAAATGAGCTGTTTCTGGTTTAAACACGGGTACAATGACTAACCACTTTGCATTTTGTCAACAGAGTATAATATACTTTACAGCAAATTCACCCAAAATCTCACACTGGATAAAAGATGAATCAATCCAGAAGACACTACAGCCTTATGCCAAATGGCATTACATTGAACGTGACCTTGCAATGTTCAACATTAACATTGATGAGGACTATGTTCCATGTCTTCAAGGAATAACCAGAGCTAGCTTCTGCAGTGTTTATCTTGACTGGATTCAGTACTGTGCTGGAAAAAGAAGGGAGGTAAGTGTATGTCTTTAACACCTAGAACATTGAATTACTGAATAGTTACTCTTTTGTTGACTCAAGAATAATACAAGTATATTAATTTCTATCTAAACTGTACAACATAACACGGTGGGGAAATGTATGTTTTTGTACAATAGAAAAATGTTTATAGAGAATATTATAATGAAAATGTGAGTGAAAAACATTCCAAAGGAGTGAACCTTTGAATTTTGAACAGTTTTCTTTGAATATGGTTCCCCTACCATCATTAGTTTTGTTCTCTGCAGTAACCCTGCATTTAGAACTTTTCAGAAAATATTATTGCTCTTCGTGAGGGAGATTCCCAATCAAGGAATACCAGAGATAGGATCAGAATGCCCTAATTATCAGAACTTCAGTGTCTTATGTCCAATGCAAAATATGATTGCAAATTTAGAAAAAATTACCCTTCCAGTGACACATGGGTAAAACCTTCCACTGTTGAGGAAGTATACCACTTATCCAAGAGCACAGGTCAAATCTGAGAAGTTCTGGTACAAATCTGACACTTTATTGCAAAACTGTGGAAAATTACCATTCAACTCTAGAGAGCCAAGTGGGAGCTTACGGTTACCTGTTCATACATTCTGAGCCCTGAGATAATGGATGTTCAGCCATTCCCGACTAAAATCCATAGTTATATTTCAGTGGGATTCTGTTGACAGCACACAGAGTAAAATAGAGTCAGAGACATGCACATTTTATTGAGTATACTCAGCTTATTGATGACAATGCAAATAAATCACCAACACAGTTTTTTCACCCATCACATCATATCATTTGTGCACTTGGGATTGTTGATTTTCACATTCCATTGCTGCCACTGTCCAGGTGCTTGGCAGCTTCCTTGATTCTTAATACTCCTTCTCCTGTCTGTCATGTCTGTAAACCTACCTGTCACTGCTTCCACACCATTTCCCATCTAGATTCTACTTTGATTCCAGTTCTATTGAATAGCTCCCCTGTGACTTCATCTGCTTCTGCTTTCACCTTGACTATTATTTTTAAATCTCTACCTGGACTTTCTCTACTCTCTCTCACAGAACTTATTTCTTTCTCTACTCTTCTGTCTGCTTTCTCCACTCATTTAGCGCCTACATTGCCAAGTCCTGAGCATCTGTTGGGAGGTGCTGAGCTCTTGAGTTGAAGGGACATTCATCACCTCCAAGAGAGATGCTCAGTCCTTCACAAGGTTGGGCCCTTTGATCCTGCCTCCTCTCCCTTTTGTAATGCAAGGACGTTCTCCTCTAGTTCTTGACATCTGGAACAACTTTCCTGGATTTCTCTGCTTTATCAATACTCCACCGCTCTTTAAATATTTAAATCTTAGAATATTTCTGCTCTCCATCTTAACTTGTTTCTCCCTCCCTTATTGTTAAGTGCTTTAATTATTTTTTCCTACTGTTGTTGAGATTTTCAAAACTTATGGATTTATAATGCAGTTTCCATTGAAGTTCATGGGACCTGGGCATCCAAATCCTCTTGGTGGCCTTGGAAACCCTACCAAATGTCTCTACACAACTGTTCTCTGCAATTTGCATCTCTCTTGTATTTTTTAATACTGTGAAACATGTTGTGAAACAGTTTGTGTGGAAGATGCTGTATAAAATAGAGCTGCACTGCACAGCTCTGAAGATCGGTGTACTTTATAGAGGGAGTTGCAAAATGTTTGCCTCAGTTTCAGGAACAAGGTAAGGGCAACAAGAAGAATTCATCTTGTTGAGCTGAAACAGAACAAAATTTTAAACTCCTGTTATGTAATTTCCCTCGTGTTTGACATCAAGCTTTTTGGAAGAGTTGTAGAAAAGGGTCTGCTGAGGTGGTGAATGTAAAGGAAATGGTTTGACCACTTGTCAAAATGTGATGGCATTGTCGTCATTGATAGACCTGATGATGTCAATCACTAGAAGCCCAATCTTGCAGATCTTCTCAGAGCCAAATTGTGCTTCTAAGAGCTGAACACAGAGTATGGATTTCAGACACATCCTGTTGCCCATGTGGAAACAGATGTATTCCCTCCTCAGTGATGCTCATCAACCTCTTTCCAAGTCTCTGATCACTAAAACACAAACCCTGGGATCCAACTCATATTAAAACTTCTTGTTTCCAGCTGTTACGCTAAATGAGCTTTCATTTGTTTAGCAGCAGACCCTCGGTCATGATGATCATCCTTCCTATTCTGTTTAATTGCACAGCAGAGTGCTTTGTTTGGGTATAGTTATATGACAGCATAAGTCTTATGAATTTAGTCATGCATTGATCTATTTTAGTTATAGGATTGTCATAACACTTTTTTATAAGGTTGCATGTAGAACTAACACACTGTCCTTAAACCTTTGCAGCATCTGGATAGTGATGAGGATTCTCCTTTAGTAACTCTCTCCTTTGCCCTGTGTATTCTGGGTAGAAGAGCTTTGGGAACCGCAGCCCACAATATGGCCATCAGGTAATTTCTAGAAATGTAGTAAAAGTTTTCCAGGGACTCAGGAGTTTCCTCATCTTAAAATGAGACGCTGTTTGGCTCTTTCACATATTATGCAAACTAAAAGGTCATTAGATCAGAGACAAGGGCTATTTCATCCATATATTAATTTTAAACTCTGTCCTTGACCCCCTTTTGTCTCTGTAACATGTATGATAATGAATATCATGTTTTTTTTATTTAACAAAATAAAATCATACACGGCAGAGGATCCAGAGTAATTATTCATTTTAGGTTGAATCTTGAAATGAGATACTGCAACGATGACCTTCTCCAAAAGGGCAAGAATCTGCTAAATGATCTGGCAGTTGACCTGTCAGTAGAGGGTTGCAGTGAGACATGGATTCATAAGCTTCCTGTGTTCAACAGAGCTGTATTCGCTTTTCTTGTGCAATAGGATGACTTGATGGAGCTTTATGGCGACCCAGAGACTGAGGATCCAGCTCCAGAGCATGCAACTCAGCTCATTCTTCTCCACTTCTATACGTTGTTTCAAAACACTTCTCTTTGAGAGATGGGTTTCGTTTTCATTATGCTTGGCCCGGGTATAGGACTCTCTTCATCTTCCACCTTCACTAGTGAATCTGGTTTGTTTGGTTCTTGGTAGTGTGTATTTTATGATGTCTTAATTATTGTTGTTCAGCCTGAGCAGCTCGGAAAGCAAAAGGGTGCTTTATAAATACAATTATTGCTACTTCAACCGGGTATGGGATTTGAGCTGATTCTATCCATATCAAGGATATTTGAATTCACCCAGGGAAACAAGTCACAGCCTCTGCTCTAAATACCAGTGTTGCATGATTAGGAGAGCGGTGGATCCCCCAACTGTTAGCTTGGTAAATGGATACAAATGCCTGGAAAAGTATTAGGATCATTGATTTCTAAAATAATGTCTTGGATGTATGGGGACTAAATGGACACAAAGACAACAAGAAAAGGTCCACACCCTTTACACTTCTTAGAGGTAGAAGATATTTAAATGGAGTGAGTAAGGGACCACTAAATAGCAGAAAGGCATCCCCTCAGGAATCCTAGTCTTAGAGCTCCAAAAAAAATCTCATTTAGAGTAAATTCAGCATTAGGGCAATGACTACTAGGTATCTCAGGTTCAGGATTAACTGTTGGGTAGCAGGTTGTAGGCAAGCAGTATGCTCTAGACATTTTTTTTTACACTGAGACTACTGATGATGTGCACCAAGTTCATTCTGCTGTTATCTCATCCTCCCCATTGGTCTGTTTTTGTCCACATGTTGAATCCTATTAGAAATGTAAAGAGAGAAGGTGGGTGAGGTAATAGCTTTTATTGGACTAACTTGTGTTGGGGAGAGGCACAAGCTTTCGAGCTCACGCAGAGCTCTTCTTCAGGTCTAGGAAACATACTCTCACCAATAGAAGTTGGTCCAATAAAAGATATTACCTTTCCCACCTTGCCTCTCTAATATCCTGGGACTGACATGGCTACAACAATACTGCATAAGCTTAGATAGTAAGCTGTCTGAGACAAGGACTGTCTGTATACTTCTTTCTGTATAGTGCCTAGCACAACAAGGCCCTGACCCTTGTCTGGGGCCCCTAGGCTCTACTGGAATACAAACAATACATTATTACAACTTGTGAAGGTCTGGGCAGATAAGACCTACACATAGCAAGACAAAGGCAAAGGGTTGGTGCTGAAACAAATTGACACATTAAATAATGACAGTCATTGGAGCTGGTGGTACTAATATAAGGATATATCTACCCGAGCGTGTTTGTCCTGTAACTTGATCTAATTCTATTTTGCAGTACTTTTCTGCCCCCATCACCATAGTATCTGAGTGTCTCTCAGTCTTTAATGTATTTATTCTTACAACTGCTCTGTGAGGTGGGTAGTGCTATTATCCCCATTTTACAGATGGGGAACTGAGGCACAGAGAGGCTAAATTACTTGACCAAGGTCACACAGGAAGTCTATGGCAATTGCTAATTAACTCAAGGTAACTAACATGATTGTAAAGTCTACTGTAGACCCTCTACAATGTGTGTTTCTGCTTGTGGTTCACCCTGCCATGAGTCTTGGTGAACCACAATGAGGAACAAACATTTGTGGAAAGCCTACTATAATTCACAAGTTTTTTCTGAATATCTACACTAACATTTACAGTTAATTTAATTAGTTAATTGGCAATCAATTAGCTCAAATTACAGCATGGCCAAAAACTCTTCTGTAGACTAACCCTCAGGCTATGTCTAGAGAGAGACACTGAGGAAATTTAAGGTGAATTAACTAAAGGTGTGAAGTTCAGTGTGCAGAAATTAAAGTCCATTAAACCATGGCTATATCTGCACTACAGTGCTTTTAGTGACATGGCTGTGTCGCTACAGCCATGCCGCTAAAAGGCACACAGGATAGCCGCTGTTTGTTGGCTCTTCCCCCAGCAAGCGTCATATTTGCTTTGTCAGCAGGAGAGCGCTCCTGCCAACAACACGCTGTTTACACCGGCACTTGTCACGCAAAATTTTTGTCTTTCAGGTTGTTGGTTTTTTTTAAACTCCTCTGAAAGACAAACGTTTTGTTGTTCAATTGCCAGTGTAAACATAGCCTAAGGAGTAAGTTACAGCAAACTAAAGTTACTTCAGTCCTGAATGAGAACAGCCACACAAGGATTAACATGCTTAAATTTATGCTAATTAACTTCACACCTTTAGTTGATTCACCTTAAGTTTCCTGAGTGTTCCATGTAGATGTGCCCTAAGAGTTCTGAAGGATTTAAGAATGAAGTTATCTCATGATAAAGGAAGTGGTTATAGCTAAGCCCCTTCGTTTTCAGTTTAAATAGATTTTTACTGAAAAATTCCCAGGTTTTACAAAAAGCATTATTCATTTTTTTTCTGATTTTCACCTTACATTTGTACCATTCACATATATAAAAAATAACTTGTTTTATTAGGAAAATACAATACATTACATGATATATGTATTATGATAATACATTAGTCTGTGTGTATATGCAAAGCTACCTGTTGAAGTAGATATTATGTACTAGTCTAGAAGATCCACACAACAGACAAGCAGCACACACACTAGCTCTGAAGTGAGTGCGCATCTGAACGTATTGATGAATCTCACGCCCATCATATACACATTTCAATCTGCTAGCAGATAACGGGTTTAAAGATTTGCCAAACTAAATGGGAAGAAAATGAAAATCTGTATCAGACTATGTTCCGAACACAAGGAAGTATTTGAAAGTTTAAAAAAAACAAAAACGAGAAAAGGATGAAGTTGAGTGTACGAGCTGCAAATGGTATGGCCCAATTATTAAATGTAAATATTTCTAGGCTAATAGTTCTAAGTCTACAACAGTAAACTGTTTATTCAAATGAAATGTTTTTTGGGGGGGATTAGAGATATATTGTTTTCTTAAACTTGGAGGTGGCATTGTGTTTTGAGTTCCGCTTTAGTTCTGCAGCAAAGCACATCGATGAATGGAATTCAAAGCAATAATCTACTGAATACTTTATTTCCCCTGTCATTCCACCCACCAAAACAACCCCCGATGTTTACCCAGAAAAATTATTAATAGTTTTTTGCTCTGATTTTCACCTGTTTTTGTTGTGGTGGTAATAAACACTCATAAATTCCTGGAAAAAATAAAATAAAATAAAAACTGAAAATGAAGGGCCCTAGTTATAGCATATACCTTCTCACCTTTGAGCGCATTTTGAAGTGGGAGACAGAGACAGAGTGCTTCCATTCAAATGAAAAATGGGACTAAGATCTTGTCTAGCTGCACAAATGATACTGCTTTAACTATACAGGTACAGTTAAAGTTGGTACAACTCTAGTGTGGATGAGGTTAGATGGGTAGAAAAGTGCTTATCCGGTAAAGCTTATTCCCATATGGGAAGGGGTATAAGGTGCTTTTATTCCTGTATAATAGCATCTACCCTGGGGATTGTATCAGTAAGGCTATTTAAAAAACAAAAAAGCACACTTCTAATTGATATAGTTATATTGATATAAAAATTATGAGTAGACTAGGCCCAACCCTCTACAGCCACTTTACTTAGAGTGTTTGCCTTATTTGAATGCTTAAGAAAGAATGAGCACACCACCAACTTGTATTACTTTGAAAGCATTTTATGTTGTAAGCCTGTCCCTTCTCAGGATAAAGCGATCCTTTAAATATTTGTTATAGCTTTCTCATCTTTATTTGAGATGTCTATAAAGTCTGCTTTTATGTCTTCCTCTTTGAGCCAATGACTCAAAACATTCATGGCCCACATTGCTTATTTCTCAGTGTGTTGCTTTTCTCTGCTTTCTTCAGAGGTTTCTTTATCTCGTCTCTATTAACAGCTGCATGCTCCCTTGCTGTTTTAACTTTATTTTGGATGGGGTTGACTTTTTTCTTTTCACTTTTAACAACTCAAATTAGTGTGATTTTTAGTAAGCAAGCAATATTCCAGTCTCTCCTGAAGTTACACTATTTTCTATGCAAATCTAATTTTAGAATATGCGGACTTTGAGGAAAAACTGATGTGCACTGATGAGATTTTCAGGGAAAAGATTAAAGCAGTCTTGGTCTGTGCCTACCAATAGATATACCACAGCGATGAGGGCATTAGAAACGCATATATAGATACCAGTAAAGCTGCCTAAAAGCATTTCTGTAGAGCTGTTACCCTCAGGGACTGAAATCTCCATTACCGGGCATCAGCACTATAGCAAAGGCAACTACATTTAATCAGCCTGGATGGTTAAAGGATAAATGGAGTGGCTGACAATAATATCTTTGCTACTGCAAATAGATAATTTTATCTTAGTCTTCCCTAAGTTTAATATAGAGAGAATACTGCAGGTCAGGTTAATTACCTGCAAAGGCTTTTGTACAAATTTTAATTGTGACCACTGGAGGTAGGTACTAGATACCCGCACACACAGAAACATTACCAGCTAATTGGATGTCTCTTTTCCTGAGCCT